TCTGAGTTTGTGTAGTTGAGAAGGCTGGTGTTAAAGCATCACAGGCCACAGAGGTTTTGAGGTTGGTGTTGTTTTACTGAGTCTCCCTTGGGTAAATAAATAAGGCCTTAATTTTAGCCTAGCAGGCTAATTTTTTTTCAACATAAACCATTAGGAAGAAAGAAATTGAGTTAATAGGTGTTGGAGATGAGCCATCAGAATACAGAGGTGAGGTCAGAGCCTCCAGATTCTCCTCCCAGCGTCATTTTGCTTTAGGGTTGATAACAAGTGGCTATGCCACATTCCATATGCACACAGAAGTTTGTAGATCAGATTTTGCACTTTGCAGAGTTCATGATACCCGAAAAAGGCAGACCAGTGATTCCTCAGCCTGAAGCTACCTGGTTATGGCCATTTTTGAGGGTATATGGTAGCTTTCCCAAGTCCTCAGCATCAGGGGCAGATGCTTCTTCAGCCCAGGTCCATGTCACAGTGAGCAGAGCAGGGAGCCCCACTGATGATCAAAGCCAAGCGTACCCCCAAACAGCAGTGAATCAGCTAGTGGGAAATGCTGGGTTGGCTTCCTGAGAAAGGTGTGTGGATCTGTGTGGACTGACTTAGACCCTCCTCCCGAGGGCTTGCGGGAAGGGTGGCCTCCCTTGGGAGTTGGTCTTGGATGGCTTGTGGTATTTGGAGCCATTGCTGAGCTTGAACTTCCCCATCGGGTACTGAGCTGGAGCTGGCACAGAGGAGGAACCCTTTAGAACAGAATGGAAATGTTATCTCCCTTTTGGGTAGGGAAGGTGACAGAGTTTTGTTGGGAAGGAGGTGGGGCCAACAGTGTCGATATGGTTAGCACTTCCGTTTCTGAACAGAGTCCAGTCTGCTTCCAGTCGCTGGTGAGACTGAAACGGATGGGAGAACACAGCAAATCCCTAAGGGGAGTTGGCTAGGAGTTAAGTAGTGGTAAGTACTATTAAGACTGTTAGTGTCATTATGTAAGCACCCTTTAGTGTTTCCTTTTTCTTCCGATAAACTAAACGGCTGAAAGTCAGCCCTATTGTACCTTAGAGCAGTGGTTCTCAACCTGTGGGTCGCAACTCCTTTGGTGGGGCTGTCTCAGACATCCTGTATACTGTCTGAGATTTATATTATGATTCATAACCTTCAATTAGCAAAATTACAGTAATGAAGTAGCAGTGAAAATTTTATGGTCACCACAGCGTGAGGGACTGTGTTAAAGGATTGCAGCATTAGGAGGTTTTAGAACCACTGCCTTAGATGGGTATCTTTCAGAATCTTCCCTTGGGCCTGGGTGCCTTGATGGAGGAAGCTGACGATGGAGTAGGCTCCTCCTACCTCCACCTGCTTTGAGTTAGGTCTTAGGTAGTCAGGCTAACTTTCAACTTGTGTAGCCAAGGCTAGCCTTGAAATCCTGCTCCACCTGCCTTCTGCGTCCCGAGTGTAGGGCTTACAAGTTTTACACCACTGTGCCTGGCTGGAGCAGCCTTTCTCATGGCATTCCCACAGCTTTGAGTACCTTGAGGAAATTGCAATCCAACTGTAAGGAAGGCTGCTGCTGAGCCACCCAGCTCTGGTTCAGGAAGTCTCCCTCCAGCCAAGACCATTCTGGGCAATGTGCGTCATGTTTGGAAGACTCCACCCTAGCAAGACAGTACTGGATGGACTCTGCTGCTGCCGCCCACCTTGCAGCTGTTCTCTTTCAGGCTAGGTGCCCTCCCAGCCATTCAGCCAGAAGTCTACAATTCCCGTGATGTGAAGCTTGTGATTAGAGTCTGAGGTCCGCGATCAGTAATATGTAAGGACCGATCGGTGGGGTTATAATCTGTGCACAAGCATGCCATGATTTTCTTCTGGCTGTATAAGCAGGCCGTTTTCCACTGCTTTGGGGGCTAGTCTGGGAGTTTTTCTCCTGTATGCCCTCATCACATAACAACCACAGGCTCAATAAAGGCTTTTCTCAAATGGTCTTTTATTGCCTATCTGCAATGTATGTCATGGCTAGAGTGGACTGGGTTAGTTCACCTACCTACTCAGAGGCAGCAAGAAGGCAGTTGTGGGGTACCAGGGGGTGGCCTGGGGCAGACAGTGTAGAAAGCCTTGGCTTTCTGCAGGTGAGATGCTAATGGAAGATTGAAAACCCTGCTTTCCCTGAGAGCTGTCCAGAGTTAAAAGCTGATACTCAGGAGTGGTTACATCAGCTGCTGGACACTAGACTGCTGCCAATCAAAGCTCAGAGCACCTGTGTCTCTAAGTCTGGGCTTTGAATGCCTGGACCCATTAACCTCTAATTCTGGGGAGCTAGATCTATAAGCCAGTGGGTTTGCAAGCCCCACCAATAAACCTCTGGTACTTAGGATGTCATTTGTGACAGGGTGGCTAGTTGAGTCCCTTTGGTTAAATATCTTGCCACCAGGCTTTACAGCTGCATCAATCCTCATCTTAAATTCGTAATCCAGGTAGACTCACACCTGTGCCTGTGAGTGTACCTGTAAGGACAGCTGGGAGGAGAAATTACTCTGTGATAAGGCTTCAGGTTTTGCTACTGGATTCTTATCTGCGATGGTCTTTCCTCTGTCTGTGGTGTTGCATGACTTCTTGGGAGGAGGAGGCATGAACAGTTGCTCACCTGCTCAGCCCAAATAGGACCCCAGCAATAGACCAAAGGTATGATTTCATGTAAGTCGATGTTGGGGACCAGTGAGCTTATTAGTGTTACTTATAGAGACTTGGGTGACTTCGAGGCAGATTGTCTTAGTTAGGGTGTTCCATTACTGTTAAGAGACACCATGATCACAGCAAGTCTTATAAAGGAAAACATTTAATTGGGGCTGGCTTACAGTTTCAGAGGTTTAGTCCATTATCATACTGGCGGGAAGCATGGCGGCGTGCAGGCAGATACGGTGCTGGAGGAGTCCAGAGTTCTACATCTTGATCCGCAGGCAGCAGAAGGAAACTGTGTGGCACACTGGGTAAACCTTGAGAATAGGAGACTCAAAGCCCTCCCTGACAGTGACACACTTCCTCTAACAAGACCACAGCTACTCCCAACAAGGCCACACCTCCTAACAGTGCCGCTCCCTGTGGGCCAAGCATGCAAACGCATGTGTCTGTGCGAGCTCTACCTGTTCAAACCACTACAGGGCTGCGCCATGGAAGAGCCCATTCCACCATGGGTGTCTGGTGTTCCCCGCAGCTGATGGGCATCAACACCACGGAAGTGTCTCTCTCCTACCTCCAGCAATTGTTCACAGCTTGTGTAAATTTGGGAAGGAGCCCCAGGATCTTTTTAACTCTCCTGTGGCTGTGACTTTCCTGAGTCTTCCTCCTTAAGAAATGCTTCAATCTAGAGAAAACAGGCTTCATATCCAAAAGGCCTGGAAGAGCAGGCATTAGGTTGATTTGTGCCAGAGCCACGGTGCTTAAATTTGCTGTGTAAGTGACACGACAGTTTGGTGACTCCTATTTTTGGTAGTTCGTAGTCAGGAAGCCAAGAGCATGTTGCTATTTCTAAGACATTTTTAGAGGACCTAAAAGTGAGGTTCTGTTTTGATGCTTGAGAACTTGGAAGTTTCTCTTGGTAAGAGGCAGAAAGACCTGCAGGTGTCTTTGACAAGCAGTCTCAGGGGAACAGCTTGCCATCTGCAGGAGAACTCTTCACTGCCCCACTTAGAGGCTTTTGGATTGGTTGCTTTTTCATAGAGAGCATCCACTTTTCTTCAGAGGAGGCTGGCAGAGAACACAAAGCAATTGGGAACAGATCACAGAGGGACGGACTCTCAGGATGCTCACAGAGAGTGTCGGCGGTCACGTGAAGAGGCCTTTCCTTGGGTGGCATGTGTTTTCTGGACACCCCCTGGGAAGTATTACAGTCTCTATGCAGGGAGTCATATCCTAGGGGCTTGTGTTAGCTCTTTTCCTGTGGTCCACAGTGTCCCTCTACTGTGTCATAGGTAGCAGTGCGTACTGTAACCGTCACCATGGAAACAATACTGACTCGTTTTCACGGGTCCTAATCTTAGGAGAGGGGTTGGGGAACATGCGATTTCTGTATTTGTTATTATCAACTCAGAATGACTTCTGCCAACAACCTCCTGTAAGCAGGCTTGTCGTGTAAGGGCAGCACTCAGACAGCCATCATCCCTCACCTTCAAGGAAGATGGCTCTTATCCCCTTGTGTTTATGAGGAAACCGAGGAAACCTCACTTAAGTAGACCTTGGCTGGACTTTAACCCAGATCCTATAGGGTGGTACTTGCACCTATAGACAGGCTGTCCTGATCTAGTTCTCAGAGGATGCTCTGATCTTTTGTTCCTGGCCATTGTTGTGCATTTTAGAACTGCTGCATGTGAATATCATTGCTGTCAGTTATTGAGTTGTTGGTGCTCAGGTGGCTTTGCCTTGGGGAAGATAGGATTAGGAAGTTGGTAATTCAGTCCTGTGGCTGCTTGCCCCGTCCAGTATATATGTATGTATCTGAGTGGTATGTGTGTGTGTGTGTGTGTGTGTGTGTGTGTGTGTGCATGTGTTTGCATGAGTGTCTGTTGTGTGTTCTTCCTTGATTGCTCTCTAGTTTATGAGGCAGGGTTTCTGGCTGAACTGGGAGCTTACCTATCTGGCTAATTTAGCTAGCCATCTTGCTCCAGGAATCCCCTGTCTCTGTTGCCCGAGTGCCAAAATCACAGAAGGACCATTATATATCTATGTCTAGCATTTTTTTTTCCCTTGGGGCTGAGGGTGAGTGCTGGGGATTCAAACTCCAGTCTTCCTGCTCGCATGACAAGTTCTTTGCCCTGAATTATCTCTCCAGCCCTCAGCTTCTTGGAACCAAGTGTTCTGGGTACAGCTGCAGCATCCTGGCTGGAGGCGACAGCAGACGTTGTCTGAAGAGGTCAGGAAGTGAACGTAATTTGGCACAAACTGCTCCATCTATGTGGAGGCTTGGCCTCATCATTCTGTCCCCCAGGCATGGCCTCATGAATATGCTTCTCCTCCTGTAGGTTGGGAAAGAGGTTGAAGAAGACCCGCAAGTATGACATCATCACCACTCCTGCTGAGCGTGTGGAAATGGCCCCCCTGAATGAAGAGGATGACGAGGATGAAGATGCCACAGTATTTGACATCAAATACAGGTATGGGTGGGGACAGAGACATCCTCCTGGGCTGAGCGGTAGTATGCTTCAGCCATGGGGTCTTTGTGCTCTTGGTTGCTTATTCTGATCATGGTAGCACCTGTTCCCATTATTACCTTGTTAGCAATACTTGGGAATCTGGAAGAGCAGGGGCTGGTAGGGAAATGCTTATTTGGGGGGAGGGAGAAAAAGAAAATGTCTGCATTATTTTGGTTGCTTTCTGCAATATTAGCTTTAGAAACAGTTTGTTAATGAATCACATTTAAATTTTACTTACTTTTTTTTGGGGGTGTGTGTGTGTGTGTGTGTGTCTGTGAAAAGTCTCTAGATGTAGCCCTGGCTGTCCTGAAACTTGCTTTATAGACCAGGATGGTCTCAGACACAGAGATCTTCCTGCCTCTGCCTCCTGAGTGATGGGAATAAAGGCGTGTGCTGACACACCTGGCACACTTAAGTACGAAGAGCAAGAACTACACGTTGACACTGGTTGATTCTAGGTGACCTGTATCTTGTCAGGTAAAGAATGAAATCAACGAGCAATATTCAGTTATACCACAAAATACATCCATAGCATTATTAGTGATTGTATTGGTTTTATTGTTAAGCCATTGTTCACCGCACATTCAGTGTATAGGAACAAAATATAGGGTGAAGAAAATCATGTCATTTTGAAAGGTATTCCCATTTCCAATTAAATGTGTATAGATGTGTATGTGCGTGTATATGTGTGTATATATATATATATATATATATATATATATATATATATGCATACACGTGTCAAGAGTACATATGTGTGGAGGACAATTTTGTACAGTTTGTTCTTTCCTCATTAACTTACATGAATTTTATGGGTCAAACTCAGGTCATCGGGCTTGCCTAACAAGCCTCTCTACCTCTCTCTACAGAATCTCTTGCCAGTCCTTGCTTTAATTTAGTTATCTGTGTGAGACAGGCTCTCATAACCTGGCCTGGCCTGGAACTTCGTGCGTAGAACTTCCGGCAGTTCTCCTGCCTCAGTCTCCTGAGTGTTGAAATTACACACACGCACCACCACACGGTGCCTCCACAGTTTCGGTATCATTCACAATAATAAGAGTCTTTGTTCTCCTGCAGGCCTGTGCCATGATGTGCAACATGGAGCCTTAATAGAGTAGATCAGTGGTACTCTTACTGTGTGTATGCATGTATGTATATATACATGTGTGTGTGTGTGTGTGTGTGTGTGTGTGTGTGTGTGTATGTATGTGTGCCTTCACACAGGCACATGCCACTGTGTGTATTTGGAGTCAGAGCACGATTTTCTGGGGTTGATTCCTTCTTTCTACCATGTGGATTCTGGGAATCAATCTCAATTTGTCAGGCTTGGTAGCAAGTGCCTGTACCCACTGAGCCATCTTGCCAGCAGCCCCTGTACTATTACGATCCAGAGCGGCTACTAGAATTTTGTTCATACTGGATGTGGCTGTTACCGTTGATCGTTAACTTGGCAGGGCATAGCACCACCTAGGAGAGAAACCTCTTGGCCAGTCTGTGAGGGAGTTTCTAGGTCTTATAAGAGAAGACCCACCTTAAATGTGGCCAGCATCATGGGCCGGGGTACTGGACTGGATAGAAAGGAGAAAGTGAGCAGAGCAGCAGCATTCATCTGTGCTTTCCGACCGTGAGCCCCGTGGCCCCGCTGCTGTGCTGTCTCTGCCGCAAGGAACTACTGCACATGGAATCAAAGCAACCATCTCTTCCTTAAGGTGCCATCTCAGGTAGGGCTTCTATTGCTGTGATAAAACACTGACCAAAAACAACCCTGGGGGAGGAAAGGGTTCATTTCCTTTCACAGCATATAGAAGCAGTTAGGGAAGTCAGGGCAGGAACTAAAGCAGACACCATGGCAGGCTCTTGCCTCATGACTTGCTCCTTATGGCTTGCCTAGCCCACTTTCTTGGAGCACACATGACCAGCAAGCCTGGCCAGAGGCGGCACTTCCTGTAATGACCTGGGTCTTCCCATATCAATCATTATCCAAGAGACTGCCCGAAGGCCCCAGTCTGGTGTGGGCATTTCCTCAGTTGAGTGTCTCTCGTCCCAGATGACTCGAGCTTTTCGTCAAGGTGACATAAAACTAGCCAGCAAACTTACTTTTGCTAAGAAGTTTCTCATTATCACGACAAAGAGAGAGTAGCTAATAAACTGGGTGACTGACCTGCTTGTGTGAGAGTCATGATAGAATGCTGTGTTTTTATTCTGTTTTCACATGCTAGTAAATAAGAAAAGTCCCTACCCTGGATATGGAAGCCCATGCCTGTAGTTCCAACACTCAGGAGGCTGAAGCACGGTAGGGGTTTTTAGAAATTCTATCTAGAGCACAGATGGGAAAGGGGTCGTTCTCTGAAGGCCTGGGCACTGATATAACCTGAAAGACTTCCAAACTTGTCTCAGTGCTTCAGACTGGAATGAGCTTCCTTTTTGGGCTGATTATCAGTCCTGGATTGGCCCAGCTGCTAGCTCTGAAACTCAGCAAGCACTGAAAGCAAAGGATGAAAGGGAACCGCATTGTAGGTATTCGAGTAGTAGAAATACTTTTTTTTTTTGAAAGTTCCCCTCTGTGGCCTGATGCAAGAGTAAGAATAAAGGATGAGAGAATCCAGGTACCCACATACTGGCGTTTCAGAGGCATTCCCCATCTGGCATAGGGGTGACATGGAGCCCCTTTGTATCTGGTGGCGTCTGATTAGGGTCTGGGTTTGTTCCCTCCCGTCCCTTGGTGTCCTTCATTTCTCCTCTTCAATAGGCAGAAACTTAGGATCCTGCAAATCCACTTGGTATCAATCCTGTACTCTATGTTATCGGCCATAGTGAGCCTTAGTCCTATGGGCTCGGTCTTCATGCTGAGTATCAGCTTTTGGACAGCCCGATTCTCTTTGTAGTCACTTTGGGGACAGCCTTAAATGAGGTTTCTGTATGAACTGTGGTCAATTCATTTGTGACTATCTCTGATAGCCTTATTTTATTTAAAAGTTACTTGTGTGTGTGCATACACATGCATGCCTATGCATGCTGTAGCATGTATGTGGAGATGGTACGGCAACTTGCAGGAGTCAGTTCTCTCATTCTACTATGTGGCTCGGTTTGGTCTGAGTGAGAATGGCTCTTCATAGGCTCCTATGTGTGAATACGTGGTCCCCAGTTGGTGAAACTGTTGGGGAAGGATGAGGAGGTGTGGCCTTGCTGGAGGAGGTGTGTCTCTGGGGGTCAGCCGTGAGGCTTCAGAAGTCCACACCAGGCTCCGTCGGCTCTCCTCCTGCCTCTGTCTATGGATCAGAAGCAACAGAAGCAGCCTTGCTGTCTTACTTCTGGTCGTAAAGGGTACGCATTCAGTATCTGACTACTGGCTGGAGTATGCTGTTCAGTTTTGCTGCCTGGAGTTTTCCTAGAGCCCTGTGTGGTACCTTTGAATTTGATTTCTTTCCCTAGCTCTGTTGAGCAGGTCGTACCTTCTCCTTTAACCTATTAAGGTGGTAAGTCTGTATTTATTAAATTTCTAATACACAATCATTTCAGGATTCTGGTGGTGAGAGAGCCTGGTCACGTGTTACCTTTTCACATGCACTGTATTGTACAGGCTCTCTCTCTCTGGAGTGGTGACTGCTTTGTTGTTTTTCTGTTTAGTCATTAGTCTGTCAGGCTCTGGTAAGCGTTAACGCTGGCCTCATGAAATGACTAGGGCATGTTTCCTTGTTTTCCTTCTCTGGACTAGTTTGAATCAGATTGGAATTACTTGTTTTCTAAGTGTTTAGTAGAGCATACCAGAAACTGGCTGGATTCGAGGCAGTCTGCGTGCAGTTTTTAGGATCAGTGACATTCATTTCCTTGAGCAGTTCCAAGAATATTCAGGTTTTATTTCTTCCTGGGTCAGTTCTGATCATAAGTAGTTTTGGAGCATTTTTGTCCATTTCCTTAATAGTTTCCAAACCTGTGGTTCTATAGTTGTTCCCAACATTCTTCTTTAATCTTGTGTTTGCAATATGAATAGCTATGGCCTTTCTTTCTTGAAAGACAGAGTCTCTGTGTAGCTCTGGTTTACCTGTAATTTGCTATGTAGACCAGGCTGACCTTGAGCTCACAGAGATCCACCTGCCTCTGCCTCCCAAATACTGGGATTAAATGTGCGTGCTTTTTTTTGTATTCTTCTTTAATATTATTTTTTTCCTTCCCCTCTCCCTTGCCCAGTCTTGCAGGAAGTTTCACTTTATCACTCTGCATGTAGCATCAGCCTTGGGCTTCTTTTGACACCCGCTGTGGTGATCTGTTCTCAACTGGTGTCTCTGTCCCAATCCTCAGCTTTCTTTGAGTGTATTTTCTTTCTGCCGCTTTTTCCACTAAATATATAGCCTCTTCAGGCACTGTCAGCCCTCCCAGCTGGAATCAGCATTTGTTCTGTGGCAGCCTGTGTCAGAGCTTCCTGCAGACACTCAGGACTGTTGCCAGGTCCTGCCCTGCCTCCCCTCGTGTCCTGAAGAACTGAACTTCAGGGAGCTCCCCACGGAAGCTCCTGCTGTTTGGTTGAAGTGAAATGCGGATGTGAATGAACTTGTAGGCGAGTCGGCCAGATACGAGGCCACTCCAGTCTGGAGAAGACTGACCGCTGGGAGGCTGAGTAGCTTTACCTAATGTACAAGTGTATAGGAACTACAGATGAGAGGCGGGGGTGAGGTTGGGGGGACGAAATGGCTGTCATCTCACTACTTAGCAGAAGTCACTAGAGAGTGTGTGAGAGTACACGTCTGTAGGGTTTACTTTCCCTTTTGAAACAGGCCCATGTTACAAAGGCTGATTTAGGGCACTTTTCCCTTTGGATGGCATATTGTGAACAGCTTTTATGTCAGTAAGTATGAAAGAATGAAGGTGTTTAAGGTCACCTTTCTGCTCCATGTAGTGTTTTTGAGGAGTTGTCTGCCCACTGATAACCTATTCAGAGAGACTTGTTTTTCCTGCCCACCAAATGTTTCTGGTTCTCCCCAGGAAGCACACACATTGAAATCGGATGTGGATGATTCATGGCTGTGGGCTACTTTACGATGGAGTGGAAAGAGAGGAACCTGTGCTTGGCACCAGGGTACTGAGGTGGGGTTGATGCCTCTTACTGTACATGTAACTTTCTAATCATATCTCGTGAGCTGGAGCCTGCGGCCACACTTGCTTCCCCCACATTTCCAAGTCAGGTAGAGGTCACAGGCCAGGGAGGCTTTGGTGGACACTGACCCCAGCCCCAATGCTGGCTATCAAACCTAGGACCTCATGCATGCCAGGCACATACTCTACCGCTGAACTATATCCCCAGCTCAGCAGTCTTGTGTGTTTCATATAGCTGGGATGCTTTGTTTTGGGAAAAATAAATGGAGCACAGAGAGCCTTTCAGTTTTGGAATGGTTCCACATTTCAGGAGGCATTTGGATTTTGCTTGTGTTTTGAGTTTGGTTGGCCTGGTGCAAAACAGTTGCAGTCACTGTTTTGGGCCTCTGCAAATCCCTAGTTTCTCACAGGAGGCTCTTGTGACACCTACTAGGCATTCCCGGAGGACAGGTAGGTACACATGAACTCTTCTGCTCACGTGGCAGGCAGCCTGACAGCTGTGTTGAGTGTGGCCCAAGGTACCCAGCTGGGAAAAGCAACCAAGAAAACGGAGGCTTCCACTGTCCCTTCCAGCTCCGCCTCCTGCTGGCACGGGCTCCCTGTGTGTGGAAACAGTGTGGCTCCTCGAGCAGGCTTGCTTGGCCTGCTTCTGTAGCTAGAGATCCCTGTAGGAATATTAGATGCCAGTGACATCACCATGGCATAGGAGACTGTGCCTCCTGTAATCCTCAGAGCAGTCAGACACTGGAGAGTGGGTATGAAGCGGCAGCAGAGCTGAGCCCCTCATCCATAAGTGCATCTTAATGGAAGGTGTTAAATACCTTTCCAGAGGCAACATCTTTCGGCCGCTTTTTCTTCCTAAGGAGCTTGGGAAGGGCAGGTTCAACGTCTCTATCCACCTCATGTCCTCAGGATTTAGTTCTGCTGTGAAAGGACCTGACGGTGAGGAGCCCCTCATGAGAGCTGCCCCCCGCCCCACTCTGCAGTTCTCCTTGTATATGCATGTGGCTGTTTATCCCTATAGGTATGGGGGTTGGGTGTAAACAGCTCATGGGATGAGGTTTACAGGATCTGCCTTCAGATGATTCTGTGACATTTGTGAGAAGAGGGGTCACCTGCGCAACTGAACTTGAGCTCCCAGGCAGGCAACTGTATCCCGTGTTTTCAGAGTGTATCCCTGTGCCATGCTGTTCCTACCCACCAGCTCTTCCTGGGGTCAGCAGGCTACTGTCTTTGGCTGTCATTCATAGACATTTGTTTTGGAGTAGCTGTGGAGATCGGCCTCGATTCTTAGTTTGGTCTCCAAAACTATCACCAGTCTTTAAACATTATGTGTTTGTTTTTCATATATGATTCTGTAAGGCCCACAGAATCCAGTACTAAGGGAGGAAGCAGCTTTTATGGGTCTATTTCCTCTATTTCCTAAGCGCCTTCAATGTAGCTTGTAGACTTCACTCACGGTAAAAATATTTCTTGTGCCCCTGGTGCTGTCTGCACTGTCTTAGCGCTGGAGTTTGAAGATGAGCATGTTCTTGCATGGATCCTGCCTGTTCCAACACCCAGTCTTAGCAGGAAACAGACCATGGTCCTATGCTTACATAGGCCCAACGCCAGAGGGCCACATTCTCTTTTCTCTCATCAGGTCTACATCACCATAACAAAGCACCCGAGACACCAACTTAAAGGTTTATTTTATTTCACAGAAGCAGAGGTTTCTGTCCGTGGTTGTTTTGTATCGAGGTGAGGCAGCCCTCCTCCACAGGTGTGGTGGAGCCAAGCCTCTTACCACATCAAGAGCCACGGAACAAAAAGGGAGGAGAGACAGCTCATGCTGTGTCCCCAGTGACCCAGAGGCCTTCCATTGGGTCTCACTTCTCAGAGGTTCTGTCACCCCATAGCAGAGTTGACCCCAGCAGAGTTCAGTGGGCTAAAGGGAGACATTATGGACCACAGACTGTGACAATAGCTCACAAACCAAGTATGAATTCTACCTTTGTGTGTGTGTGTGTGTTTGTGTGTGTGTGTGTGTGTGTGTGTGTGTGTGTGTGTGTGTGTGCGTGCACGTACCCTGGTCTCAACTGTGCAGCCCAGGCTTTTCTCAAGACTCCAATCTTCTTGCCTCCACCACCCAACTGCTGGGATTATAGGTCTGCACCAACATGTCCAGCTCTGATTTCTACATTTTAATGTTTGAAAAAGAATGAAAAGGAGAGGAACATTTCAAGACACCTCAAAGATGATTGCAATCCTGATTTCAGTGCCCATAAATAAAGTTTTATCGGAACACAGCCATCCCCAGGCATTCTGTACTGTCTATGGCTGCTTTTTTTTTTTTTTTTTTTTGTCCTGACAACAGGGTTCATAGCTGACAAAGAGACTGCAGGATCTATAAGGTTTAAAATAGTTATGCTTGGATGCTTTGGCCTGAAAACTTGCAGGAAAGACGGATTTGAGGAGAAAAGAGCTTGTGTTCTAAGGGTTGTGGGTTCTGTGTAGAGGGAGGGACCCTGGGGATCCTGTGTGTGAGCCGAAGGACAGAGTTCCATGGGAGAATTCAAAAGCCCCACCGGTTGAAGGGCCGTAGAAAGCAGCGATGACAAGAGCAATGATGAAGAAGACTGCTCACACAGCAGGGATAGGAGAGGGACAGAGAGTGTGACAGCATGGCCCAAGGGGTGGAAACTGCCGGCGAAGAGTCAGGTGGCTTCAGTCCTCTGCCAGAAGTGACGACTCTCCTTCCTTTTCTTTCAGGTAGAACTTTTCCAGCACGTCAACATCCTGTGGGAAGCTGGTCGTCTGCAGCCTGGTGTCTTCTTGGCGTTGCAACCCAAACCAACGTTACAAAACTATGGCTCCACTCTAAGTGTCCAGCATCTGCTTGCAGTGTCACCATCAAACTTTTTCTCAGTCGCCAGATGGAAGTCACCCTGGCCACCCTTGGATGCCTCTTTGAAATGTGCTTTCCGCTCCTTTCTTGAGGGGTTTCTCTACCTTTCTAAGAGACTGGAAACACCGATTTCAAAGATTTTTTTTTTTTTTCCTAGAACAACTGTAGATAATAGTAAAGCTACAATTAGAAGGAGGATCAAGGGTTTTAAAATGCAGGGCTGGGGAGATAGCTTAGCTCGTAATCCAATTACCTTACAAGCAGGGAACATGAGTTTGGTCCCTAGCGTGTGCATTCAAACAAAACACAACTAGAATGGTAGCCCACACCTCTAAGCCCAGCACCGAGAAACAGGTGGATCCCTGGGGTCATCTGCTCAGTCAGCCCAGCCTAATGAGACAGAAATTCTAATGAGGAAAAGTTGGTTGGCTCCAGAGGAACAATGTTCAAGGTTCATTTCTGGCCTCCATACACAAGTATGTTTACACACACACACACACACACACACACACCCATCAAAATCCAAAAGGACCTTCAGATGTACCTGAGAGAATCCTCATATTTTGTCCTCTCAAATCTTTCTAGCTTCATCAGGTCCGGCTTTATTTGGGGGAGAGCTGTATGATATTTCAGAGTGGACATAAAAGTTTCCCACCCTAACGTAACCCCTCTCAAAAGTTCAGCACAAAACTTTTTGTGCTGGCCTTGTGGAGCATGGCCACTCCACAAGGAAATTTCAAATTATCAGGGATTAGATCACATGGGTGAATGTGCGGATGGGTGTGTACACTTGTAATTTCTCTCGGGGGGAATGGAAAGTGCCAGGCAGATGGTCTTTGTATGTGCTGTAAAAGCGTTTCTCTGCCCTGCCTCAGTGCTGTGTTGTCTGTCTTAGGAATATCATGCTAAGAAATCACTGTGCTAATTTAAATGAATGGTAGTTTGGATGAAAAAGAATAAGAAGAAAAAGAAAAAAAAAAGACCCCCATTAGGGACTCTGTTGGAAGTCAGTCCAGGTTAGGTTGGACTGGACTGGACTGGACTGGAAATTCACCTGGGCCCACTGCTGTCCATGAGGGGCACCGAGCCTGGGAGCTGGGTACCCAGGGATGCCCGGAGGAAACAGGCCCTGGACTAACTGCTCAGGTTAATGGAGGCCTCTCAAGTGGCCTTCTCCCATATTGCTGTAGCCAGATGCTTCTGTGCAAATCTAATAGCAGTGCCTTTGGGACCCCGGGGGTATTTTGTGCCTGGAAAGTTGGCTCTTGTTATCATCTCTTTTCCTTTCTGTCTTTGTTTTTGGGTTTTGGGTATTTGTTTAATGCCCTGCTCCATTGCGTTTGCGGAAAACTTCACCTTGGCCAGCTCCACCCCATCCTCAGGCTCTCCAGTTCCTGACTGGGGGGTTGTGGTAGTGCAGCCCTAACTCATCATGAGGTGTGCTGCTCTCCTGGGCTCCCCTTATTTCCCCTTCTTAGTTGACTTCCCTTGTTCCTCAGCCCTGTAGGCAGAGCGATGGGCTGGAAGTAGAGCGGGTAGCTCTCTCCCCCTCGCTGTGTACTCATAGCACAATGCTGACTCTAGGAAGCTGCTGCTTGGCAGCTGTGCAACCTCTCAGCCTTGGAGCTAGGACTGCCACCTCCCCATTCAAAGGGTTCCAGGACTGCATCTGAACCATCTGGAAAAGATGGACTCTCCTGCCTCATGTGTGAAGACCCTGGATCCGGCTACCAGCCACTCATCACTGACTGGCAAGAATGGTGGGACAGTGACCTTCCAAATCTTTGATGAAATTTTGACACCACAGGCACTTAAATAAAGATCATTAAAAAAAAAACAAAGCAAAACAACAACAAACCAACAACCTTTATATTGAGTCATGAATGCATTGGGTTTGGATATTTTCTAATGAAGGAGGTGAGATGACTATGGTTAGGAATGTCAACACAGGTTGTGGATAGGGGTGAGCTGGGGTTTCTGGGGGTGAATGGCTGTGTCCTAGTGATTTAGAAAGGCATATGAATGATGGGGCTGGGGAAACATGCCCCCCCAACACATTATATTTGTTCTTGTTCTAGACACTGTTTCAGGTTGGGAAGTGTTGAGCCCTCATTTGTTTGGAGACTCTTGAGGCATCCAGAGGCTGTAGACCCCACCATTTCAAATCTGCTGTCTTATCCTTGCCTCATACCTGGTTTGGCATAAGATTTCTATGACAGCCAGGTGTGATGGCACATACCTGTCATCCCAGCGCTGGAGAGGCCAGCCTGGAATACAAAGCAAGACTTTGTATTCTCAGCAAATCGAAGAAAGCCACCCCAAAATTTCTATAAATGTGACTTAAATATGCTCAGGATGGATTATTCCCTTAGTGGATAAAAGCCAGGGAGAATGGCTCACTTAAATCCCCTTGAATACCAAGAGCTTGATGGTTGTGGTCTACTTGGCTCTCTCAGAGGTTCATTAGTCATCTCTGTGGCCAAGCGCTTTCCCGCCAATCTTGTTCTTCCAGATATCCAGGGATGAGCCAGCCCTCAGAAGAAAAGTGGTACTAGCTCCCCAGCAGTGCCCCCTTTGGTGAAGGACTGGCTGCGAGCGCAACCGGTTCTTTAGTTTCAGGGGTTCATTTGTGGGGGTTCCATCTAAATCCTAGACCCTTTACAAAGAAAGAGACCAGAGTCCAATAAGGAAGAGATGGTCCAAAACCTCCAAGCCTCTCTCTCTGCCTTGTGTGCCTTTCCTACCAAATGTGCTACACTGGGTGGGCAAGAGGGATTGGTTGGGGAAATCACTCAAAATGGTACTTTCTAAGGTTGTGAGACCCCTACGGAAGTCCTAAGTCTGTTCTGTGTGCCTTGCCTGCCTTTTTTCAGCAAGATGCTGGCTTTCTGGACATTTTGAATGGAATTGGTAGATAACCAGAAGAGAAATTTCCAGGGGTGGGTATACAGGTGCCCCACATTCACCGATGAGACTTTGACTACCAAAGTTATTTCGAGAGAGCGATTGGCTCCTTGGTATTATCGGCTCCAGAGAGCGGGTGGGGCTATTCTACCAGCATCAGCAAAGAGGACTCTGGCTCAGCCTAGAGGAAGACTACGGCAGGAATCAGGTGACTACCCAATCCACCTTGCAGAAGCACAGGATCTTCCCCTCAAAGCCTACAAGTTGCTCCCCATCACAGGTGGGAGCCCGTTCTTGCCTCTAACTCAGCTGTGGTAGAATTCTTGTGACTTTTATCTGAGAGTTCAGGAAGACTTTGTGTGGACTCAGTGTGTCAAACGACCTGTGAGATCACTGTTTTCTCTATCCTTGTAGGGATCAAAATAACATAAGCATTGCAGTTAGGTGTTGCGAAACCCTACCTGCACTATGGCCTGAGCATTTGGTTTGCAGAGTATCTTTCAACTTGGTAATTGCTTCAGAAGTTCTCACTGTCCTTAGGCTCCCTCAGTGGGCCAGACTCTTATGTCAGCACACTCCGCCTTCCTTGAGATGGGCTGTTTTTGATGATGTGGAGGGGCCATCATGGATTTAGAGATACCTGTTAGCAAAGCCGATATCCCACAAATGTTTGAGTGGTCCACCTGACACACCTGTGCTTAGGTAAGACCATTGTGAAAACAGTTTGTGGGACTCCAGCTGGGTGGTGCTGGGTGTGGTGGGAGGAAGCAAAAGATGGAGTACGGGTGTGATTTCCTGCTTTGCTGCTCATGGCGATGGGGGTGGGGGGTAGGGGTGGGGCAGGCTTCCTCCACCAGTCATTGTGGTCATTTAAAGGTTAAATGTCGTTTGTATCTCTCTGACAAGACACCAAACCGCACAACTTCCCTGTGAAGATCTTGTCGCTTCCATCTGAAAGTCATTTTCAGCTACTGAAGTCACAGCCAGTAGTGCCCAGGCTCCTCCTGGGCTTGTAGAAGCTTTAGGTGTCAGACAAAGTGTTTACATGTAGCAGCTTCCACAGTCCCAGGTACCTCACCAGACTCAAAGTCATCAAGAAGATCAACAAGGCTCCACTCGTGGGGTGATGCTGCTAAACTGCAGCATAGGCTCATGATTGGGAATGAGAAGAGTGAATGACAAGAGACAAGAACAGGGCATTGGGCCTGGGAATAAGGTCCTAGAGGGGACTGGAGAGGCATGGGATGTGGGAGAGGGCCATATGCCTGAACCTAGCCCAGGCAGGGATGGAAAAAAAAATGAAAGAGGAAAAAAAAAAAAAAAAGGTAGAATTGTAGTATGGGCTACAGGCATGTAGGTATGGTCGCCATTATCTTTTAGAGTCCTTCCATTTGCTGGAAGCCTTGGCATAAAATGTCTTATTCAATTTCTCAGCTGGCCTTTTTAAGTGAGTTACTATCCCTGGGATAGGCTCTGGGGTTCTGGGGTTCCACAGACCAGGATCTGTTTCCTCTCAACTATGGCCACCCGCCCCTCAGAGTGCTCCATCAGAAAATCAACTTCCTGCTTGTCTGGCATTTTAACATCCTCTGAGTCCCAGAGCTATGTGATAGAGTTGGCAATTGCCTGTGCTTTGTCTGCATGGGAACTGGCCTAGGAAAAGTCAGCACACAGGCTCACAGATTTGTTTGTAAGGGGTATGCCTTGGACCTTGAGCCTCTCACCTTCTCCAAACATGTTTGCTTGGAGGGGGAGATGGGAGACACCTTTTTGAGACCATAAAAGCTCACATTTGGGGTGGCAGAGGTTGCTTGAGCTCGGGGCCAACGGAATTAGGTCACATATCCCAAGAGGCACCCTACTTAGGTGGTAGCCCTCCCTCTCCCATGGGGAAAAGGGTCTGTTTTCAGGACAAAGAGGCTGTATGCCCAGGAGCCCTTGGCCTTTATTTTAAATTCTACTAGAGCACGTAGGGCTTTGGAGTCCCCTGCCCAGATGCACCAAGCTGGGTTCAAAGCTATGCTGGGATTATCCTCCCTAGGAACCTGCAGGTCTACATGGTTGGGGAGCTCTGTCCTTTGAACACAGCATGGCCGTTACTAGGTAAATCAGAACAGCGCTGACTACCCGCAGGAGATCTGCTTAAGACCGGGCCTGTTGATAGTCCCCCGTTGAAGGAAGTGTTGGCAAAGTCATTAGACCCTCATCTTAGACGCTAGTTGCTTTCTCCTGCCTCCGCCTCCCCAAGCTGTACGCAGCTGTGTCACTTCTATGTAATTCTGCCTCGGCTGCACGTGGTCTAAAGGAAGTAGAAGGCTAGCTGGATGCTCTGCTCCATGTGTGCTGCGATACTGGGCCAGGCCTCGCACACAGCAGATATTAGGAGTAGCTGGATGGACCGTGACCTGACTCGGACTGTGCTCTGGGGAAACAGCTCCCTTTTATTTCTGATCTCATCATGGTGTTAATGACTAAGCAAGACAAGCATCTTCAAGGGCAGATTCATGGTTAACACCTTTAGAACATCATTTATTTCTAACCATGGGCTGACAACTCCATCGACTAACGGAAACCCCAACAATATGCATGTGTTGTTTTTTTTTTTTTTTTTCCAGAGCTCTCTAAGAGACTCCAAAAACATTGCTGTTGCCCTTGTTTGTCCCCAAAGGTAAAAAGTAAGCCCCTATTGCTGAAGATACTGTGAACTTCAGACACAGGACCCTGAAGACCTACACTAGGGGTCTGACATGAAAGTACCAAGCATTCAATTTTCCAAGGGAGGGAAGCGGTTAATAGTTCTACCCAGCTATGATGCCTATAAACCACAACAATGATCCGTGTGTCAGGATAGCCTTAAAAATGCAACAGGTGCATGCATACCTTGGTGGCAACCAAAAGTTCACTACTTGGACTTGAAGGCTTGCTCAGCAAGAGGGAAAATGTGCCTGGTATGGGAAACCTAGCCAACTATTTGGGGCTAGAAAACGTCATGGATCTTGGAGAAGACTGTACAACCAACAACTAACCATCATAAGCCTTAGCTACCCTTCTAAATAGTCATACTTCTGCCCACAGATAAAATGTAGTTCTCACTCATCAAGGAAATGTCTCTTCGTAATAGACCATTACAGAAAATCACAACTGATCAAAAGGCAGAGAAGAGCCTGTGTGGAGCTCAGCTCCATCCGATAGATCTCCGACAACCCCTGCACCTCAGGTTCAGGGGTACTCCCAGAACAGGAGATAGAAATACTGTAAGAGCCAGAGGGCCAGGGGGATACTGTGAGACCGTGTCTCTTGGAAATGTCAGAGAAGCTATGCTCATGAAATCTCATCAGCATGGCTGCCTACACAAGACCTGAACAAGGACGACAATAAGAGACATGCTGACGTTAAGGGTCCCCACCGCTAGACAAAGAATTACAGGTAACTGTAATAAGGAATGCTGTGACTGGAAAGAGCTCCCCCAAACTGTTCATTCAATTCAGCCCTGAAATCATATACATACAAATAACATTACATGAACTGAGCAGATTGTATTTTTATACACACACATACATGAGCACAATTTAAAAAAGGGCCATGAATTCTGAAGAGGGGGAATAGATGGGAGGGGCTGGAGGAAAGAAACGGAAGTGAAAAAGTGATATAATTTCAAAAGGTACAACAGTTGGAACTCTTGTGGGAATCCACCAGAGAATACTGCTTGGACGCAGGTTTAAACCAACAGAAAGTCTTTATTAGTTGGCCAGTGGCTACCCCGAGTGTTTAGGATCCCAGTGCAGCCCTCAGCCTTTTTCAGGGTAAAGTTTTAAAGCGCAAAACCATATCCTGGGTTGACACCCCTCAGTTAGCAAGAACAGTTAGCCAGAAGTGGAACTACAGGAGCCAAAAACCAAGGTTTACACATAAAGACTTTCCCAGAACTATGGGTTTCTTTGATAAATTGATTT